ATATATAATGTCGATACAGATAAGTATTTTTATTATGTTTAACCCCGAATGAGTTATTTTAGTTGTACTACTTAATCGTGAAGAAAGTATAGTGATATATTTTAATCATATGTAATTCTAAATGAAATTTAATGATGTATTTTTGTTGTGATTCCGAGAAAAAAATATTGTTTTCTTAAAGCGTAACGGTTCTAAAAGAACAAAGAAACTCCATTCAAGAGTCAAAAAATGGTTTCTAGATTGAAATCAATTATTGTGCAGAATGTTGTGTAATCGAACGTTGAAGAGTTTAAGAAAAATATTTACAATAGGATTTGCTGTTGTACACGAAAGGAAAATTTTACAATTACGGTACTTTCCACACTACTGTAAATACCGAAAACATTGTCCCTAATTTCTTTCAAACGAACCTACTTCGCATGTAAATAAACCAGACGTAATTTCTTCATAGGTCAAAGACAGATTCATATGTGTAGAGTTAACATTCATGATGTCACAAGAAAATTCCTTGCACATTGATCACACAAATTTCTCTCACATGCTACTAGAATCACTTCACCGTTGCTTCGGTGAAGTTTGATCGAAGCCATGCTGTAGGGAACATAGGTATTGTTTTACGAGCTTCAACAATATTGTGATGTTCTTTTCGTATATTTCATGTTGCAGGTTCAATTATGGAAAAAAAAACCGTAGTGAAAATTAAGCGGCGCCCACCTGACTGCTCTGCTGTTGCTAGTGTGTACAGTGACGATATTAACAAAGCAAATTATGAAGACTTGCTTCCTATGCATTCGGAATCAGTGGCGGAACTGCTCGAGTTTTATGCAAGCATACCAGATTATGGAGAAGTGCATCACCTCTCGGACAAAGAGTTTAATCAACGTTTGCAGACATTAAGAGAAAAGTGTAAGCATTATATCTCGCAAGATATGCAGATACCTGTTTGTAAAATTAATAATAATTCAACAGACCATATTAGAAAACCTATATCATTCAAAAGAAAGAGCAATTTGGGATTGGCTGTCAAAAAATGTGAAATTCACACTAAAAGAACTGATCCATTTAGAGATGCAGATGAAAATAAAATTTCACGAAATCGAAATATGCTCTTCGATGACATTGAGTTCAGGACAGATCGTTTTATTCCCTCTCCCGAAACATTTTCAGTACTCTCCTCAGACGCCGGACAGCCTCGGGACAAAGTTGGTGCCACAAAACACGTGAAAAAGTCAATTGCAACTAAATCACATACACTCGGTAAACAGCCAGAACTTTTCCGAGTAGAGAGCTGCAGTTCGGTTGCTGTAAGTGAAAAATTACCTGCAGAATATTGCAGCAAGTTTGAGTGCCTTTCTGACAGTGACAGTGCTCCACCTCTCTCCTATCCATTGTTCCGTGGATCCAAGGTCATAAAAAGAAAAATGAATAGACCCAAAACTGCCATTCCAACAACAGTACCTAAATCATCAAGGTGAATGTGTAAATGTTCCTCTTGCCTGAACGCAGAACTTATTTTTTTTAATTTTTTTGCGTTTATATCATTCTTTAAACAACTTACTTCCAAACTCTTAGTATAATGAATGAGTTATCTAATCAAATGCAAACTTTCATAGGGCAACGAAATTGTGGACATCGGATTTAAGTGAATCAAAGTTTGATAATAAATCAGCATGTTCAGAGAGACAAGGCGGGAAATCAGTTCTGTGCCAATCCACACCAGATCTTCGACCGCCCACTTCTACTTTTAAAGCAAGACCTGTGCCAAAAAATCTTTTTAGTTCGCGCAATAATTACAAAATGCAAAATGCAGAAGTATATAGGTAAGTTTTATTTTGTGACCTATTTCATTGAAAAAAAAAAAAAATCGTTTGAATCATAGAATGCAAACATGTAAGTATTAATCATACATTTAATAATTAGCATGACATTAATATGACAGCTTGAGGTTGCTGTCAAGAATAATATCTAAGTAATTAGTAAGTTAAAAGTCCTGATATTGTAAGACATTACTTTCTAAGATACTATCTTGAACTACAGAAGTATGTTCATTTTTCAATATTTCCATTTGAAACAACCTGAAAAGTTTTTGCTAGTTTAACTAATTATTCAAATTATTATTTCAAACAGGAATTTCTGATTAATGAATTTACAGAAAATTGAAAATATTTATAATCTGAAATTGTAATTGGGTAGCCTAAGGAGATGCATTAATAAATAACACTAACAATCAACAATAAGAAAACTGGCAATAATAATAACAAAATCTATAAAATAAAATACTGGTATGTAATAATAACAATAATAAAAATAAAAATTAATGGTGACAATGTCTAGTGGATAGTCATGAGATTAATCTTAAGCCAATGTGCTTGAAAAACCAGGAGAGAGAGGAAGTTTTCTATTTCTACTCCAAGTCCTACTGCAGCACTTATAATCAGATTGTACTCAGTCATTAAGAGATTTCTGAACATTACAGAAATGTTTTGGCTATAAGAAGTTTTTTTTTTGCCATCTGTTCCTGTACTGTTTCTCAGATGATTTGGTAATTTATTGTTGTTGATGGCTATCATTGTTTGGAACGTATATCTGATAAGGTGTTTTTATTTGAAGCACCTGCACTGAGATTTTAGTCTGTACAATTCTGAAGATAAGGGAAATCCCAAAATAATTCCTAGGTCAAACCCACACATAGGAAATTATACAGTATAACATTTGAATAATATTTCACAATTTTATAGAAAGTAAACCATGTCTATGAACCGCAGGTCTGCAAAATTAATGTATTTTTTGCAGCATGAAATTGAACAGATGTCTAATTTTACTATAATGAAAACAAATTTTAAATATCTGATAGTTTATAATGAGTTGTAGAAAATTAAACATACAACAGACATATGTTTTGTTCTACTCATCATTGATTGTACCATTCCAAAGCCACCAACACTGCCAAGGAGTTGCCTAGTTACCAGGGAATATTTTGTTGATTTAGCACAATTCTACTGGCTGAACATAATTTCAATTGTAAATTGCCATTTATGTTATTATTTTGAATCCTAATTCATTAACAAAAATGTCTGTCTCCATAATGATTTCATTGCTCCCACCAAACTATCACAATATCAAATGTTATAAATGAATGGACACTTGTTCACAGATGCCAGTCAATGCAATGTTAATTTTCAGCAAAGAGAAGAAAAAATATTTTATTATTTTATGCTTGACATTTTACTGTCATGATTCAAAAGTTTAGAATTGACATATTTGATTAAGCTGGATAGTGTTTAAAGTATTTAGAAGAATGATCAAAAATGGAAAATTGAAATAAAATCATAATTAAACAACTAGTGGTGCTACTAGAGCACATACTTTCTGATTTTGTTTCCATTTTGCAATTTTAAAAAATTCTGGGAGATTAATAAAAATTAGAACTGTGACATTCATTTAAGCGCCCACGTTTTTTCCGTGGAAAAAATTGAAAGAGAAAATTTATGCGTTTTTTGAGAAAATGTGGTTTATATAAATTGCACTAATTTCAAGCACAAAACAAAACAATTCTTTTCTTTTTCAAAAAATTCTACATGACCTTTTTTATAAAGAGCTGATTTTTTTGAACAAATTTTGTTTCTGGCAAAAATCTCGTCTACTTTTTAATTTTGAAATCTTAACTTTTTACAATTTTAGAAAATACAAGACTCGCCGGAAATGAGACTAGCAGCATTTTTTTAAATACAAACGGAAGAGAAAATTGAAATAAAAATTTCATGTCATTTTTAGAAAATAATTCTTTATTTTTTTAATGTCTATATATCATCCAAAATTACGGAAAACTTCTAAAATTGTAAAGGACCTTATTTCAAGATCTATCTTTAGACAGGTGCAGATTCAGAGGTTGGGAAATAAGGGAAATTTCTCCCCCAAACTTTTTCCAGTAACTATTAATTTCAACTTGTTATGGAACTTTCAAGCAAACATATTTTCGTATAATCATTAAAATGAATAAAATCATAACACAGCAAGAGCTGAGTGTAGCCTGTGTCATTTCACAAACTTTGCAATGTGACGGAATTAACAGGTATTTCAAAGAAAATGAGACCTGTACCATTCTCGTGTCACTACTCAAGGTCAAAGTTTTATCCAAAAAACTGGAGCCATTTTTAAGTAAATCTTGTAAATGTTTTTGGGACTTCATGTAAAGTACCCGTAAAATATCCGTTTGAAACTCCCAAAGCCTTGAGTTGGTTCTGATCGGTCGGGGAATATGTATTTTGAAGAAAATCAGCTGAATGGTTTTGGCACCAGCGTTAATCACAGGCGGACGTCGCTTTGACTTCAATTGATTTTTCAGTAAAAAGGATCCACAAAACATGGATTCTGACTACTCAATGTGTATGAACTTTACTACACCTAGGAACACAATTTATCCATATTTTTGTGCCACAGGGCCTGGCAATTAGAGAGTTTCTGTCGAAAATTTAGCCTTTTCAGGCGCACGTTTACAATACTTCCTCTTCTTACCAAGTAAGGGCGAGAAAGTAAAAACCTGATATCATATCAACAATTAATGGTTTTCAGAATTCAATTCACCATACTGAAGTTAGGTTTACCTGTTCAAAATCATTGCAGTGCAGTGTAATAAGATATTTAATTAAAAATAAACACTTAATGTGAATTTTTGTTATTAAATTTTGAGTTTATACACTATTCTCTTAAGGTACCTAAGTAATGATTTTTCTTTATCTATTCATGGGTCTGAATTTTAAACAGAAAATTTATTAATATTTTGTCATATTAGATCACTCCAAAGAAAGGTTCGAGCTGAAAAGTTGCTTCATTCATCCTCACTTCCACCTTCTATGGCAGCAAGAGAAAAGGGTTCAAGATCAATCAGTTCCAATTTTCAAAGCGGTTGTGGATCAAGACTTACGGAAAGTGAATGTAGTTCTGCAAAAGAAGGAAAATGTAACACTGAAGTTGTAAAACAAAATTGTACAGGTGGACATTGTGACAAGAAAGTAAGAATTAACTCATTAAATACTTTTTTGAATTTAGTCAAAAAAAAAAAAAAGAGATAGTTTTGGTAAAAATAAAATTATCTTGTATTAATGGATAAAAAATTATAGGATGCATTTAGAATACAAATTTAATGTTCATTTAAAATAGTAGAATTAGGAGGGAGTGTAAAGGAACATAACTAATTCTCCCTCTCCCTGCCTCTCTCTCTCCCCTCTCTCTTCTCCTCTCTCTCTTTTCCTCTCTCTCTTCTCTCCTCTCTTTCTCCTCTCTTATCTCTCTCGCCCTATTCTTTTGCATGCAATCTTTTGCAAATAAGAACATTTTTAGATGAATTGTCATTTATGATTTGTCTCTTGAAATTCAGGATTCTACTCCAATTGGCTGTCCTTCAACTAGTGGAATAACTTCCACATCTTCTAATGAAAGTTTTCCTGCCGTGTTTCGCATGCGTATGCAATCCTGCCCTCCATCAGTTGGAATCCCAAGTAAGAATAATTTGGCAGCTATTTTACGGATACAGTCCACTAGGTGAGATGTTACAATCTTTATATTAGATGCTTGGGATGTAAAAAAATAAAGCATAATTTTGTTGATGTTATTTCTCTTTGGTCATTGACATTGGTACACATTAATATCAGTTATTAGAATTTTTGCCTGTTTTCATCAGAATCCTTCATACTCCATTCAGATAAATAGTACATACTTATTTGTAAACATAGAGATCCTGAAAAAGAACTGAAATAATTGCTTATCTTTTTATGAGTATGTCTTTGTTGCATACCTTCTAGGAATGTTTTAAGTTAAGAATTAGCTATTTTTATGCTCTACAATATATAAGAAAAGAGACTTGTTAATTTGGCAATTATATGTGTAAAACATGCTAAAGCATCAGTGCTTGATCCAAGTGAATTAGTAAAATAATTTGCAAAACAAAATGTGTGCAAAATTAAATTATAAAACATATTTGTGAGAAAGCAGAATGTGCAAAATTATTTTTCTTCATATCTTGTGTATCGTCTTCCCAAGTATTGAATTTAAATTCAATAATGCCATGTTCAACAAATGCCTAAAAACCAATAATAACAATGCGTGGAAAGGCACAAATTTTGCAAATTGTCCATGAGATATGTCAGAAGGTGTCACATTCTCAAGGATGACCAGGGGCAACAATCAGATAAATCACCTTAATACGAATCAAAGTTGTGGACTCTTCCATTCAGGCAATGAGAAACTGCTAACAAGGCAAGCATGAAAGAGAATATTATGTTTTGATAAAAAATTTTGGGAAAAAATAAGATTCTTGTTTTATCAAGAAAGGGATTAGGAGATTATTTTGCGTTTGCAATTGAATTTCACTTATTTTCATGGCTGGATTAATAATTAAAGGGGCCCTAGTATTGAACAAACTGTTAGGCTCACTAAAAATATTGAAAACTAGTAATCAGAATTATAATGGAAATAAAACTGTAACCTTTGACATTTACTCATTGAGTATTCAAATCATAAATTGCCTGCATTTAAAAGTAATTTAAAATAACTTTCATATACATGTTTGTAAGGTAAATTTTTTTTAAATGCATTATCATTTTTTAAATGAAAATTAAATTTAAAAATTTTTTACATTTCATTAATAAATGGTAAAATTTTATTTTTGCATATTTACTAACCAATACAAAATATGATTTAAAAAAATTGGGCAGGGGCCCTAACAATTGGCTCAGTCTGCATGTCTGTTTTTTTTATTCTTACATATGCACCCTTACTTATTTTTCTCATAGTTCCTTTCAATCATGTTTCCAATAAAAATTATATACAGGTCATGTGTATTTACTCTGTTGATTGTTTTGCACACAGTAAGGAAGACTGGAGGAATGTCAAACATCAAAGTTTTGATTTCAGTTTGCAAAATAAATATGTTAAAAGAAGAAGAATCATTTATTTAAAAGAATAGTTGAATTGAATACATCAATTTTATGTATTTGTAAATCATACATATGTATTTACAATCATAGGAAAAAGTATTCAATATTTAAAGTTATAGACTTTTTTGCACTGTAATGTGCAACCAACTAATTTAAAACAACTAATAAGAAGATAGTACAATTCTTCTTTATATTTCCCTCAAGACGGAACTTTTTAAAAATGTCACAAAGAGACAAGTGAGTCAAGAGTGCTTCTACTATCGAAAGCTACCATTACTAGTTCCATTACTATTACTACTATTATTCTATTAATAAACGTGTATTAAGTATTCATAAACGTGCCTTTCACGTAATGTTTTTCCTTATATTAATGCTTGTAAGTCTAACATCAGTACACGTAATACATGAGTCGTGTCAGTGTCTGAGTAGTATATCATCCTTTCATTAATTTAACCATGTGGCAATAAATAAGAAATAAAATTGGCAGTATAATAAAAGAAACTACTGAAGATGAGAGGATGATTATTATTAAGGTTCATGCCATAATTGATGTTTGTCATTATCTCAAATATCTACTTGTAAAATGGTATGGGGGATAACGATCCACCAATCAGGTCATCTATGACAGATTTGGAGAGAGAAAATTGGTGAAACATTTCGATGATAGTCATTATTCTTCTATTTAAATGATTAGGCGAGGAAAGTATATTTCAGGAAGTTGACAAATAACTCCATGAAAAGTATTGTATAAATTAGTGTTGAATTAAAAACCTGATTTAAAATTTAATATTAGGTCATTCACTATTCAAATGTTTTTATGTAGTTATGGCCAACATTGTACAAATGATAGGCAAAAGTCATTCATTAAAAAAGTAAATAGGAGAAAAAATTGTAGCATATGTTAATCATGATCGTTGGTGATTCATGACAATGTGTTCTATAGAATTCTAAAATGTAGTTTTAGTTACTGATCATGTTTTTCAAAAACACTCAAAGAAAGTGCGAACAAAAAAGAAGGAAGAACTAGTGGACAAAAATATATTTCTTTCAGCCAAGCATGGTGATGGTAATGATATTGTTTGTGGCTGCTTGAGAGCAGCTGTGGCAGGATATTTTGAGTTATTAAATGAAACTATAGATAAATATTACTCATAGGAACACTGAAAAGTAATGCCTTCGAATTTTTTACATTAAAACTATTAAAGCTATTTAAATAAACTAGCTTTATTCTCATTCTACATTTTTATTCGTCAAGTCTACATATTTATTTCTCAACCTAGTCTCTGTGGCTACGAACACATTTCTTCAAATGAGAGCCAAGTTTGTTGATACCTTCACTGTAGAACTTAGTTCACAGCCACCTCACTTCTGCTTGTTTGGTGAAAGTTTGCTTTATCACAATCCACAAAGGTGTTCTTTAAGTTTTGGAAACATGAAAATCGGGTGATCCCAAGTCGGGGCTGTCTGGAGGATGATCAGGGCCGGATTTAAGTATTGCAGGGCCCCCAAGCACAAAAATTGTGTTGCCCCCTCTCCCCGTAAAAATAGCTCCATCTTTATTACATAAAAACTTATCTAAATACAAGTACTTTCTGAAAATTAAAACTAAAAATTTGTATATAAATGTTTACATATATTTATGACATTAAATACATTTTATGCTACAAAATAGCACAGCACTGCCAGAGAATTTAATGAATAATGAGAATTAAAATTACTATTAACCGTATGTCACTGGTAACCAGCCCATTACTCCACCCCAGCTGTGAGATTTTTGCTGGAGATCCAAGCTGCGCGCGCATTATTCACTGGGTCAGTGGCAGCCGCCGACCGNGGGGGGGGGGGCAGCCGTAGATCATGTACTGAACGCAGCTAGTGGGTGACATTCTCCCCTCCCTTGCTTCAAGGCCAGGCCTCGCCTGTCTCGTGATTGCAGTACTCCCCGCGAGAGAGGAGATGAAGATAAACAAGGCCAGTGCTACCAAAGTTCATCATTCAATTTTAGGTCCTATTCTCTTCCTACTCTACGTAAACGATATGCCCTCGAGGATTAGAAACGGAAGAACAGCTCTCTTTGCGAATGATACGAATATGCTTTGCAATAAAGAAACCATAAATAGTACAATAGCAGATATTTCAAATTGGTTCCGTAATAACAAATTAATAGTAAATGAAAATAAAACTGTTTGAATGCAGTTTTCCATTTTAAATAAACAGCTCTGCACTTCACTGAAAATGAACGGTATTCCATTGACTGATGTTAAAGTAACAAAATTTTTAGATCTTTCAATTTAGTCAAACCTTAAATGGAACGTCCATTTAAATGAATTGAACATAAATTAAGTTCCTTATGCTACGCTTTCAGAATTCTTTCAAATTCAGTCAGCCTACTCACTGCTCGTTATGTATATTTCGCGAATGTTCATTCCCGCCTGAAATATGCCATAATATTCTGGGGAAATACATCTTATAGTTCCCAGACTTTTAGATTACAAAAACGAATTGTACGAATAATAAGTAAATACCACCCACGTGATTCTTGTAAGCCTCTCTTTATTCATCTAGGTTTTTTACCATTACCTTGTCTCTTCATATATGAATCAGTGGTTTTTGTCAAACATGACTTACTTAAGAGCGGGAATATATTTTCAGCAAACGCCGTTGTCTATAACTACAACACTTGACGTAGTAATCATATTCATCAGGTGACAGTATCAACAGCTCACTACAAAAAATTCACATATAATACATGTACATTATTTTACAACATCTTGCCAGATGACATTAAAGGATTAAGTTCGATACAAATGTTTAAGTCCTAAGTAAAATCTTTTCTGCTGAACAACTGATTCTATACAATTAGAGGCTATACCGAGCATCCAAAAGGAAAGTAATAACAATTTTAACAATGACATTTAATGTGTTTTATACCATTTGGATTGTATAATTGTAAAGAACCTGTAACAAGTATTGTACTTCAGCTTCTGGGACAATGACCCCCATCTCGATCAGGTTTTCGTCCAGTTTCCCTGATCCTCGAGCAAATGCAGATGGCCCCTTGTTTTGCTTCCGGACGTACATGTAACTTCAAATTAACTTCTCCCCATACCACGCCACACACAGTTTTTAACTTTTTTGACGTAAATAAATAAATTAAAAAATGGCACGTTTTGTCAATATAAATTACCGTAGCGTTTGTCGATAAGTTTGTAGCTTGTATAATGATGTAGGGTAGATATTTATCTCTCGCTCTAGTGAGAATGAACCAGGATGTTTCGTTGATATTTTATGATTTTTTTACGAGGAAGGTGGTTCTGATGTACGTGATCATTAGATTCCCGTAATTTTCGAGTAGTATACCGTACCCTTAAGAGAATCTCGTGTCAGAACTGTGCGTGATGTGGTGAAAACAATAAAAACCTATGGTCGAAACAGAACTAGTGAAAAAAGATTATCCACTTAAGCCTGTTGAATCATCACTGCTTGAGGACATGACACATACATTCATTTTTCGAAAGAAACTATGTAGTATTTTGCTAGTCATGAAAGAAAAATGGAGTTTAGTTTTTTTGATTACCAAAACATTTGCAGGAAGCAGAATTCATTTTCCTGTTTTGTAAGATACTATTAATTTTTTCTTTCATGAACATACATCGTATGTGGGATAAATTGCATGCTTATTTTTGTTTGCATGGATTTGTTTATTTTCTACAGATTTTGTGCTACACGGTTGTGGTAAAGAATCTCCTGTTGCGCGACTATTTGTATGCGGTAGGGGAGGGGAAAGCTGGTTGGTCGCTAGCAGCTAGAGTATACAATGTAATCACCTCACGCCCTGGTTCAATTTCCTCTGTTTCATGTCAGGGGTGAACATTAGAGGCACCCACCGTGCTCACAGTTTTCTGTAGACACACCACATTTCTGTGATGTCCCCGTAAGTGTGATGTACACGCTCTCGTGATATCACACTTACCTGACAGCCGTGTCTGTGTTATCTGATGATTTTCTCTGATGAGCTCATCAGCCCGATACCGATGAGTCTTGTCGGTTGTCGTGCGTGGTTGTCCACTCCGAGCTTTGTCGCAAACCTTGAGGTTGGCACCATCGTTTCTTTCATTACGACCACGAACAACCCAACGTCACACTTTACTGATGTCGTTACAATCAGCACCTTGCAAAGCTTTCTCACTTCTATGGATTTCAATTGGAGGCACGTTTTATTCAGATTACCGTCCCTGTTTCTCACGTACCGACGAAGTTCCGCTACACTTCCGCTACACACCGCCACGTTACACGCTACAATTCGGAATCCTTCAGCAGCAGAATGTTGCAGCTTGCGTGAGCGAAGCGGGAATGTCGACCGAGTGATATGCATGTGTAATACGTGTAAACCGATGTTGAGAAAATAATTCGAGAACGTGCTGAAAAGTATACATCGATTTTTATCAATCATATGTCAAATCTTGCATCCAGTTCCGAAGAATTAGAACTTACAGATTTTTAAGTTTTCATGACAGATAAGCAGTAATTGCACATATGTCTTATTTCTTGATTGTACATTTTTATAATAAACCAAAATTTATTATCATACCTTCACGTTCCCCCAAGTATCGTATCAAATCCAGTATTCATGCAGATACATTAGTAAACACTCTAAAAGAAAGACCTCTTGAAAGAAATATCTAAATATTACCATTCTGAAAAAAAGAGAGATTGTCCGAAGAACACGACCATCCTGGTTCATTCTATACTTAAAATATCGGAGACCGATCATCAAGTTATTATTAAAGGGAAACGAAATATTTAATAGCAATACAATCAATAAAATGAATGCAAAAACAGAGTAAAAAATTTGTTTATGCATTTCAGTTTCACAATTTCTTTATTTTTTCTATTATGATCTATTACCAAACTCGAATTTTCGGAGTAATTATTTATAAGTAGTGCATGAAAGTCATACTATTTTGTTTTTTTTTACATAAATGAAACGAATAAAATAAAAGATTTGTTAAATTTCCACAAATGCTTTTTCCTATGACTATAAGAAGTATATAACGCAATGCTGCGGAAAATTGATGTCCAGATTTTGACGGAAATGTACGTTTCAGGGTCGCTAATACTTAAATGTGTTTTTTGCAAATCGTGCGTCTATTTCTATTTATCTGTCCGACCCTCTGTCTGTGAGTTGTGTGTGTGTGTGTGTGTGTGTGTGTGTGTGTGTGTGTGAGAGAGAGAGAGAGAGAGAGAGAGAGAGAGAGAGAGGGAGGGATAGATACACACACACACACACACACATATATTCTTATTACCGGACCCCTATAAAGAAAAAGTAGGCAAAGCTTGTCCCTATGTAATAAATTACGTGCGTTGTGTAGTCAGAATCCAAGTTTTGTGGGTCCTTGATACTAAAAATCTATTAACACCAAAATATCTGTCTGTGTAAACCGTACATTGGATTTTCACCAAAATTCCCCGATCGATCTGGCTGACGCACCCTTGAATTTCAAACATATTTTAATTGTAAGGGTTGTTTACACGAAGCTCCACCGGCATTTTTGAAATTTGAACATGGGGTGTGTGTTGTTGAGGAGCTGGAGGAAGTCAGCTAGGGTGTGAGAACCGTAGGGCCACACTACTAGCGTGTCGTTCACGTGCCGGAGCCACAGTGTAGGTTTTAGCAAGGCATTCTCCAGGGTTTCCGTTTCAAAGGATTCCATGAATAAGTCCGCCACCATCGGGGGGAACCCATGGCAGCCCCTTCAACTTGGCCATAGAGTTGCCCACGGTACTGGAAGAAAGTGGACGTTAGGCAGAACTCGGCTAAGTCTGCCCATTCCGTAGTGAGCCCCCAGGAGCAAAGGTTTTGGGTATAATAGTGGTCGCCTCGTCCACCGGAAGCATAGTGAACAAAGACGTGACATCGAAACTGACAAGGATGTCCGTGTCATTTACGCGATGGTCCTTAAGAATGTCAAGAAGGTGGGCCTAATTCTTGACAAATGACTTGATGTCGTCGGTCAAAGGCTGCAGTTTGTCGGCCACATAAGGGGCTGGCTTCAGGTTCTATAGCAACCGAGTTATTTATCCGTGCCGCGACCTCTTCTCTCAGCTTCCGTACGGGATTGCTTCGAAGGACAGTGTCGGTCTGATCTGCGAGTAACGCTTCAACTTTGAAGTGGTAGTCGGCGGTGTTCATGACCACCGCGGCATTGTCTTTGGCCGCAGTACTACTACGATGTCCTCGCGCTTGCGCAACGCTACACGTTCCTCGCGTGACAAGTTATTTCGTGGCAACGAAGCGAGCCGATTCTCTGCGGATGTAGTCGGCCTGGTCCGCAGGCACTTTTGAGTCCGCGTTTTTCACCCCTGCCACGATATCCGCGTTACGGACACTTTCGGGTACGAGAGCGAAATTCAGACCTTTGCTCAATACAAACACGGTAGCGCCGTTCAGCTCTTCGTCCGTTAGGTTGACGACCGTACAAGTCCCACCCACCCCGAAGACCTCAGGATGTTTGGCCTTCAGTTGTTAAAATTTACGAATTTGCTTGCTTCTGACTTTTTCAAGAACCCGTTCCGCCGATTCCGACAAAACTGTATCAAGTGTGGTCCAATCAGATGCACCAAGAGTTCCTGCCAGTATTAAATGAACTTTAAATAAATTTCGTTCGATGTTAGAGAGTTGCATCCTGGTATGGCGGATCCTCTGGCGTAGGAGAGCGAAACCGTTTCTACGGAGAATACGTAATGCCGCTCGAGTCTAAGTCTGGTGACGTATTTTGAGAAAGGACGGGATCACGTCCTCATCTCTGAGGAAAGCGAGCTGGCTCAGCTTCCGTTTCCGTTTGTCTCGTAGAGTGGAGAACTCACAAGTGAGTTTGAATGTTTCCTCCCAGTAGAGGTTGATCAAGTGAGAGCGTAGGCTTCCGCGGCCGGTGTCAGTACTGAATTCCGAACTGGAATCCGCAGGGTGTGTAATCAATATCATTCCTCGATTAAATAAAGGAGACATAGCAGGAATACGTACTATATTATTAAATGATCGTAAAGAAAAATACCTCCTCTAACAACTTGTGTAGTAAGAATCTACATTTTGTGGTCATTGATACAGGAAAATTGGCTGACGAAACGTTTGTGTATGGTTAAGCTAGCTCCTAACTTTTCAGGCGATTTTCTCCACAATTAATATTCCACCATTGATCTGGCCAAAATCGTGGTCCTACTACTTTGAAACTGATATTTTGATTTTTGGGGTACTCTAAATGAACCCACAACATTTTTAATTTTCTCAAAATAATTCACTCAAAACAAAAACGAAACAGCGGGAATCTTTGAACGAATCGCTCCTCGAATAAATATTATCTTAAATATAAAATAACCTGTGAAATGATTTGAGAATCAATAGTGGGAATAAAAGGGGTTGTTTTAAAAATTTGCAATAAAGTCAGAACCCCTCCTCCCCTTCCAATCGATACTCACACGCACTCGTACAGACTAAGCATTTGCCTACAAATGTAGGCTCTATATCTAACTAATGAACTATACGTAATCTTCCTTTTTTCATCTCCCTTGTTAACAATCATGCTGATAATTCTTAGCAGGAAAAACCTTTCAAACTTTGCCACTAAATAATTTTCATTGTGCCTACAGGGGGAAAAAAACATTGCATTAACTATACCATTTCTGATATACTAATACTTTCTTCCTGTGTGTTGAATTCTGATTTAGTGCAGAAATTGAAGTAATGTAATTCATATATTTTTACTTAATTATTACAAATTAATATTGTCTCAACAAATAAAATAATGTAATGTTCATATTTTGAAGACAAAAAATGGAACGCGATTTAGAAGATAAATTGGCTGAGCTCAAGAGAAAAGAAGATGCGTGTATCAAGGCTCATCTTGCTCGACAACAACCAGCTTGGCAAGCAATACAGTACAATACAGAGGAAGACTTAGCTTTACGGCGTATCTTACGCAAAGAGAAAGAAAAAAGGCATCTAAGGGAACATCAACTACAAATGAATCTCATGCTTGCTCGAGTACAACAAATACCGCCTCTTTTTGAAAGACAGGTAACATATTTTAATTTAAGACAGGTACTCAAACTTGTGGGAAGAAATTAGATGAGTAAATTACACAATTTAATTTTGCGTCGTCATCGTCATCGTCAAATTCGTTTCATCGTCAAATACAGTAGATCAGCATTAAATCGTTGCAAATCTCGTACGACGATTATTCGTATTCGAGATCTAGAAACCTAGTCCATGCTCATAAAACATCAACCTACTCCATGTTCATAAAACGAATTAAAGACGTAGCTAATAAAAGATCCACCACTACTGTTCAAAAGTCCATAAAAGATTCTTAAGCTCAAATTCTGTATGATTTACAGAAGCAGAAGGTACAGTATTTTTCTTACTGAACATTTCTGTATTTTGTTGTAGGTACTGTACTGTACATAATGTAGGCGTGTCTTGCATGCAGTGCAGTATTTGTTTCTTTAATTCAAAAGATAAAAAGTACTATATTAATGGTTTTCTTCATCTGCTCCACTTTTGAAACGATCAAAATGAATTATGACCTATTTTACCTATATTTTGACGTTGAAGCCGTCTTCCGGCCTTTTTCTTACTCATTTCGATAATTGGGACATGCATAGTAAATAAGTTAAAAAAGAAAGTAGGGAGACTCAATCCCATTTAACATTATCGTCTATTTCTTTGAAATACTAATTAAGAACTGAAGAGTTTTGCAAAAATACTGTAGATTCCAATGCTATTAGCAAATATTATATGTGTTTATTTTCTATGAATGATGAAGTGAATTCATTATTTTGATTACTGTTTGTTTTAATTTATTTTTGCAGACTGCAAGGCGTTCTATTGGACAATGCAGAAAATAATATAATCTATTTATTTTGTGTAAAAATGTTGCACGTGTTCTTAGAACAATGTTACAACATTAACTCAAGTTGCTGCCTTATTATGAATGAGAATTTTGGTGAATGTTGCAACAGTTCAATAGTTTGAAATGTATTATAAAATGATTATTTTGTGTAATTTTTTTAAGATGACACAAGTTTTACCTGATTATACTAACAGAAAATGATATTTAAGGAAATATCTTTATTGCAAGGTGGAACTCTTTACGAGTTTTGTAAATTTTATCTGCTTGTCATAATGACGGTCAAAAGTTATATATTATATTTCTGAAATTTGAAAATATTTATTGAAAGGTTTCAAAGAATATACAACAAACGAATAGTACTAACAATTTCCAGGTATTATATCATTGAATTTATAATTGAATAATAATTGAATATATTGTAAAAAATAATCTTCTTATTGTAAAATGGAACTTGACTTTGTATTTTCATTTAATATATACTTTCTGTCAGCCATTGTAAGTCTAAATATTAAAATTGTATTCATAAGAAGAAGAAATGTACACTATGAAATTAATTAACGTCCGAAATGCATTTGATTAAATAGATGCATGTACCTCGTAATAATCTGTGTGTGACAGCTGTGCGTCGGGGGAAGCCGTGCTTCATCGTGTCCACGTGCTTGTCAGGTATGTTGCCGCACTTGACCGTGGCGCGTACTCGCTTTCTAAGCGTCCGCTGCACAGCGAATTTCTTACTATACCCTTCATTAGTCCACTAAGACTTGGTATATTTAGGTTGAGATTCGGAAGGTTCTGTTGGATGGGAAGATTTTTTAAGAGAGGGGGAATATGGGGACTGATTTTGTAAAGAAGGGCGTTGTTGGTGCCGAATCCTGTCGAGAAGTTTAAGAAGGCAGATGGCATTGGTTATGTAACTCTTTGCGGTAGTCAGGTCGCGATTTCCGTTACAAGACGTGTTTGTTATCCCGTCGACCTGTCTGCTCGGAAGCCAAATTAAATAGGTCGGAGTCTTTTGTATGTTATTGGTGATAGCTTTTAAAGTTTTATTCGCTGTAAAATTGATCCTAAAATGGGGAGAAGGCTAATTGGTCTGTAATTGTCTGTGGAATCTGTGGGGTTTGGTAATTATTTTATGTCAGTTTTCCCTTTGGTGGGGAAGTAGACATTCTTAATCCAGGCGTTCAAGAGTCTAGTAATGAAATCTATTGCGTTTTCTGTCAGTCAGTTTAATGCAATTGCTTTTACTTCGTCGGGACTAGTTGCATTACTTTCGTCAAGTGCGTGAAATTAGTTACAGTTCTTGGCGGTTTATGTTGAGGAGAATGAGGAGTTTATGAGGAGGAGTTGGAAGTTTTTAAATAGTAGAGAATGGACTATGGCGGCGCAGGAGCGTCCGCTGATGTGAATCTGAATTGTATGTTGTCGGTAAAAATTTCAATCATGGTTGGAGTTCCGTGAGATAGTAGGAGTGGTGAAATTTTGTGAATTTGAATTTTTAAGTGTTTGTTGAATGTTCAGATTCTCCTGGGGCGTTTACTCGTAGTTAATTTTGTGTGGTGGTGCATTTTTATTTTTCATACGTTAGTAGCGCGTTGTGCCTGAATTTTTTAGTAACATTTTAAAGTAGTTTTGTCTTAAGGTTTGTGAGGTCTGTAGTAAGTCTTCTGAGAATTTCGTTGGTAGCGTAGAAGTCGAAGAATGTTGGCTGGGAGTCGGAGCTGGGCGTATTGGTGATATGACAACAATTTTTTTAAGGGATCGGTGTAGCTGGAGATTCAGGCGTTTATTGGCTTAGTACATATGCTTTGTGGAGTTTAAAGGGGGTTCAGGGACCTGATTTACGTGGATATTAGGCGATTAATGTTTTTAAAAAATGATTAAAAATTGACACCAACAATGATTGTCTTAGGCTGTATTATTTATTTTATTTAGAGACGATCAATTAATGTATAAATTATAAATAGAAAATTGTATTTATTCCATTATAATTAAAGAATGTGATGTTAGTACATGACTTTTGGAAATTTATTATTTACATCATCACATACTGTAGCTATAACATATTTTGTAAGTAAATAAAAATTAATAAAAATGTATGCAAATCATCGAATTCTACAAACGTTGTAAGAAGAAAGATATCCAATTGGGGCAAGAACGTAAATAATGCCACTGGAAAAACTGCTGCTTTAGCTTGTCGCTAGAATGCGTCCGGTGTCACCTTGCGATTTTCAGATGTGAAACACAAAGAATATTGGTACGGCGTGTAGGTGATGCACTTGGTTGTAGCGCAGTAATTACCTCTCACGTTCCCAGACCAGACAGTTCGGAAATTATTCGCTGAGACCGACATCTGGAGGAGAAAGTGAGAGTCACATCCAAGGCTACAAGGGACGCCCACGAGACACGCCTGCACGAAAGATCCCCTAGTGTAGCATCGGGGGTATGCCTCAAACGAAGCCTTCGTCGCAAATATAAGAGCAGAAAAGGACCAAATGTCATGAAGTCCTACAATTATTCTGAATGAAAAATAGTGAATTAGCGTAATTAATTATTACGTTGTAAGGAGTACGTTACGTTGTATGGAAACAAGAAAACAAACACTACAAATACCTATACAGGTACATAAACGTAACAGAATGTGCGTAAATGCGCATCTGCTATTTACAATTTTGTTGCATCAAAGAGTACGGGGAAGCTGGATGGCCGAATTGACTCGAGCGTATGCCGACTCAGCGCCTAGGTAATGAGGGTCGCGGGTTTAAGTCCCGCCATGGGCATGGTTGTTTGTCCCTTGTTTTTCATGTACGTGTGTTGTCGCGGAAGGCCTTGTGAGTCCGCTGACCAAGACTGAGGAACCTACAAGTGTGACAAAGTGATGTGTAAAGGTTAATATGTGTCCCCATGGATATAGAATGTACCCGGTGCGGATAGTCGAAAAATAGGCGTCCTCTGAAGCTGGAAAAAGCTCCCGGAAGAAAAAAAGTAGAGGGCAGGTCTGCTCACGTTCTCCGGACAAGACAGTACGGACATTATTAACTGAGACCGACATCTAGAGAAGGAAGGGAAAGTCACACTAAAGTTGTAAGGGAAGCACAACTAACAAAGTCCAGGAAAAAATAGAAGAATTTAGGTAAAATTATTTTCACTAACACCAAGCAAAAACTCGAAAAGGACTAGAGAAATGTAGTTCACCAAATTTACTGTGAAATTTACTAGTGTCATGAATGTGAGGTTGGCAGTATTGTTCTTTGACTATGATTATGCACGCAGCTGTGAGTGCGCGTTTTTGAAAGAAGAAAATAAAATATTTTTCTTTCTCCAAATAAATTCTGAAAAGTTAAACCCGATTTTCCTTCATGCGTGCATTCGCTAAAACCCCCAGAATCGTTCTTTAAAAGGAAAATTAGATACTCTGATGTTCTCGAACAGGTATCTTTAGAAATACACGAAATACTGCCCTTTTATTCCAAATTTGGAGACCTTCCGGAGCTAAACCTTTAACAATACATCTACAAATCCATTAAGAAATGGCAACACAGGCCACTTTTACGGAAACTCCTATCGCTCGAGAAAAACTGAACAATGCCCATCCATGCTTGTGTATCATACTGTGTACTCTTGACCGTGTCTCATCAAACTCGTTATTGAGCTTTGAGAGTCGTACGTTTTACTAGAGGATGAGGTTCGACGAAGACGTGAAGCGTGTAGGGCGAGCCGCGAGAGTGGCCACGCCCAGTTTCCATGGGAACGCCAGGGCGTGGCGGGCGGCGGCCCGCGTGTCAGAAGCGGTGGCGGTGGCCTCGGAGGTCGGCCCGCCCGTTGCCCACCGGCCGCCGCCCAGCCCGTCGCGACGCCCGTCGCGCTCTCTCGAGCAGCTTCTTCCGGGACTTCGATCTGCGGTGCAGGCGCGCAATGGGAAACAAAGTGGTCACATTTACGGAAGATCAGTTTGAAGACTACCAAGTGAGTGTTTGCCAGCTCTTTTTGTGCCTTCGGGCCCAGAAGTGAGGGCAAGAATTGGGGGACAGTTCTTGTGCTGAGTGAACTAGTAGCTCATGGTCTCCTCAACTTGTTTTTCAGGATTGCACTTTCTTCACTAGAAAGGAAATTCTGCGGTGAGTAACTAGAGAATGTGATGAGTTAAAACTGCTTCCGTTCGATTTTACTTCCCTTGAAACGATCCGAAGTATAGTTTGGATGGACGTACGATTTAACTAAAGCTTTTTAATTGATTATATTAGTTATATTATAGGTGACTTAATTACTTTTTCGTGAAGTGCCTTACCGTAAAATAGACACAGCGATGATAATCAAGTGCTGGTAAGACAAAGAATAAAAGTAGCACTTCTTTGAGGTGAAAGCACTTGAGATTTTTGGCTGTTTAACTTGGATAAATTAGCACATTATTGAATACACACGTAAGTTTCAGATGTGAAATAAAAATGGTTTTGGCTTCTTAGCTCACAAATACGTCGGCCGCTCTCAGATCGGCAGACCAAGGAAATTGTGCTAGGTCCACAAATTCAGTGTATAAATTATGACAAGAGGCGGAATGTTGCGGAATTGTTAACTAGAACTACTATAGTTTTACGAAGCATTTTTATGTTAGATATGTTGGCGTGGTTGTTTCAAATTAAACATTAATCTTAGGCAAATTAAAAATAAGAAACACATAATCACTACAATAAGAATACTTCATCACACTGAACGCTAAGGTTTCCACCACTCTCATTAGGGTGAGAATCATGGGGATAATTCTTCGAAATAGTTCATTTTTGTCATCACAACACGGAAGGAAGTAGCGGGACCTATGACCCAACTTTTATTATTGAGTGTTGTGATGTCTTGTTTCAATGTATCGAGGAGCATATCAGCGCATTGACAAAAAACCGCGCGTTATAGTAACTTAGATTTTCACCCGTTAGTTTGGAAATATATTTCCAAATTTTTGCATTTTCTTTGCAAATACGTTTCATCGTTGCTTTTTTTAAAAAAGCAGAATATCATGTAACTGTTTTTTTCCATTATTTCAAATATACGTGGACATTAAATGATTCTGAGCAGATATAAATTGTAAATAGATGACGGTATATCAATGTACTACATTTCTTGCGCCGTGCCCAAGAAAAGTAACATATTAAAAATCGTAATTTTTTATTTAAGCAAATAAATACGTTTTAAACATTGTCAACTTCTTATTAGTAAAAGTAGTAGTATGTTATTAGGATACTTCACTACATAACTGCAATGTAGAGTACCTTCGTCTCTTCTCGCACTCCTATTGAATTTCATGAAAACCGCAATATCTTAAACCATTTCGTTTGAGCAGTGTACACATGTATTCGTCCGGAAAATCGTAGACACGTCTCTTATTTGAAATTGCCAATATTGCCAGATTACGTTAGCTACGAAGTATGGTCAGTTCAGAAGTATCAGACTCTGTTAAATGTAATTTAAAGTAATAGTAATTGAAATGTATTTTACAGCTCAATTAGCATTTTAAGGAAGAGTAAAACAATTTGATTCACAGAAAAGGCACAAAAATAAAAAAAAAGACTGTTCTTTAATGTTCGAGAGTGTTCTATCATGCCTTTTCTGACGTAAGTAGACTCTTCTAGGCCTTCGAAGAAGGAGGTAACTATTCCTGGCCATCTAGAGCAAATGTTGTAGTACACGAAATAAATAAATAAAAAGTAACGAGAACAAAATGACAATGCTCTGACGGCATTCACTAATCAGGATCATTATACCGTTGAATTTCCTTCATTTTACAACAAAATAAAGCAACATTCAGACAAAAGGAGTATATAGTCACGTAAACAGATTGAAGTGTGTTTCGTGAAGTTATTAAGGATTTGCAGATGCTTTTCTTAAAGTTCAAAAATTGGAAAAGAACTTTCGGAAGTATCTCTTAATGTGATACCCTGCATATTTTCCATGACAAGCCATCAAGTCCTTGTTATCCTGCGGATTTTCTAATCCTGCCTGTCCGAAGCGTTAACGTCAACTCTTTCATTCTTACAGCTTCATTTGTTGGTATTGTTTGCCCTCCACTTCTCTAAATGTGTCTGCGTGTAAACTTTGCAATGTACAACACAGTAGTTCCAAAAATGTACAATATTGGTAAATCTATTTTTCCTTTCTACAGTACTAGTGTTATATACGTAGTATTGAGAAAGTTATATGTAATGCTGAAAAAAAAACGACGTCGTTATTTTGAAGAACTTCACAATTTTGGGTCCCCAATAACGAAAGCGTGTCTTCTACAAAACGTCTATTCATTCATATGAAAATCACAATAACTCCTAAATCATACATATGATTATCCTTAAAATATGTGTAGAGATAGTCGATAAAAATGACCACGTATTTCTGCAAACAATAAGGCATTTCTGCTAACAATAACAATTTGTTGTCTTTTTTGAGAAAATATTGAAAAACGGGTTTTGTGGAAATAGACCCCCACAATATTTGAAAAATACGTTTCAGAATATATCGGTGAGATTGGTTGGTAAGTAGAAGGTTAGTGTCCGTTAAACGTGAGTCCAGTGTTCTGATGTGTTCGGTGAAAATTTCATCTCAATTTTCTAAATGTTTAACAGAATATTCGGGCCTTTTTTATTGACTAACTCTCTATTCTCTGATCGATCTGGCCGAAATAATTCGAAACGTTTCTTTCCATTTTGGGGGTACTTTTCGACCTTTTCAGTATTTACTCAAAGTGGCTTCGAATTTTTCCTAAATGCAGAAATTTGTATAAATAGAGCAAGTAGCATTTAAAAATATATTTAATAATTATTAATATAAACGATATTTTCATGAAAACTTCTGAAATTTTGAACATTCCGAATGTTAAAAATGTTTCGACTTTGATCGTCACCTTCATTATTAAAGCTAGAGATTTCTTTCTTAATGGAATCTATTCCTGCATATTAGTACTTTAAGACATTCAAAAATATTTTTCATATCTAATCACACACACTTAATGTGCCCGGATTCACGAATTGACTCCCGAGTTCGCGGAATCGGAGAACGAAAACGAACGACAACGGAATTGCTAAAACTAGGACATTCCATATTTTGATTGTACTAAGTTCAACTTCATGTTTCATTTGGAGGAGGAACCCTCTTAATTTCGTGTGTTAGTGTGAAGTATTTTCACTGAAGAGAATGGTTTAAATGTTTATCAAGAACTCAGTATTGTGTATAAAATGTGACCGACGAAGACTTTAAAAGATATTTTTTAGTTCTGCACGAGTTCTGGGTTGCGGATAAAGAGTTATGGAGAATATTCTATGAACGTTTTGCCAGAATATGAATAGTATGGCAAAAATAAAGGTTCGTGTTGTAAAATAAGAGTTAGACTTTTCTAGAGTTACAAAAGTTTTGATTAGATTTCTGGGTTGCGGGAAAAAGTGTTGTGAAGAATACCCGATAACAATTTTGTTCTCTGACAATATATAAAGAAGTTCTAAAAAGACAGGCGGCATTTGGATATTTTAAATGTTATTTCTGTCTTACAAAGTTCGAAGTGTAATAAAACCTATTAGTATTTCTTGTTGTGATATTAGTTGGGTCAAAAAATAGTTTATTAAAAGCCAGTTATTTTTTTAGTTCCAACTAATTAGTTTTTTCTCGCAGTTCTGCGATTTTTCTCGCAGCGTGAATATGGTAGGGAATTTTTATTTAGACAATTTTTAGTTTTTTTAGGAATTTCTTTTCAAAACTATCAAGAACTCTAAAACTGTTGGAAATCAATCCAAAACTCTATCTTTTTAATTTTAAAAATTGTCATGACTACTTCACACGAGCGCGAACCAATCATCTTCCTTCTATGCCTTCTGTGCTTAATGCCCTCGCCCATGCATGCTATGTCCAAGCTCATTAGAAATGGAGGAGTTCTCTCTACAAATGATACGAGTGTTCTTTGCAAAAGATAAACAGTAATCAGATCCTTGAAAGTGGTTTCGTAACAACAAAATTATAGTAAACTGGCGAAAAATAAATACTCATTATTTCCGAGTTATACATCATGGTAATGTATTGCGGTGTAAGTGTGTTCAGGGTTGCTTTTGCTTTATCCTGTACCATAATCTGAGATTTTGTAAAGATTATATCTGTTTGATGCAGATCTGAGGAAGAATTCTCTGTCAAGTGGTAGTGGTGTTTTACATCGATAGTTTTTTATAAGTGATTCTAAACCGTCCTCCGTCTTATCATACTATACATTTTTGATTTTATTTTATTAATGATTATTTTCGTCAAAAGTCAGTAAAAATTGTGTGTGACCCAAGGGGAAGAAATATAATCTGCGTATTTTTTCTTGAGAATCAGAAGCCCTAATCCTCACTTTAACTATGCTCAGTTGAATGATGAATAAAACAAAGCGTGGTTAGCACTACGTTTGAATAAAATGTTTGAATAAAAATTCCCTCACAAGCAATGATCTACATAGGTGCATCGGCAAAAAAATGGGGGGGGGTGCCCTTAACAGCTAAACATATTTTTAACAGTTAGTAGGTCGTAACTGTTATGCGAAATAAGTTATTTCGTTTACCGTGTTATTGGCTATTATCGGCATTGTACCGCAACTTATTTGGCAAAACTCTAACTATAAGCTTTTGCGCCAAACATTTTGTCCTATAACAGTTTCACTACACCTAGTCAGTCGTGGTTAGTAAGTGTCCAAAGTATTAATTCATTAATAAATATCTCGTCATTGTTACACATTATATTCCACAATATTTTTGTATTTTATTATATACATTACAATAAATATTAAATTCGCCCAATATGTTCGTCATTACTTCTTTCTGTCCCATTGCTGCTTATGTGAAATCCACTGATATTTCCTGATGTCTGTTCCTATAAGTCTGATGAAATAAAATAATGTGAAATAATTCGCATTATTTTTAGATATCCAACAATCATTACCTCTTTAACTGTAAGTAAGTGAGAACACACAGTTTCTCCTTGTCATTATTCTTGACACTCTTCCCTTCAGTATGTACAAGTTATCTATTCGAAACAAAATTTGCAATCTGGACTCGAATCACGAACACGAACACTGTCATTTAAGTATTATTCGATACACATGTTACCCATATTATATCAATTACTATTCTTACTTTGCAGTTCATCCAGTCTGTTGGTCTCGTTCATATTAGCTGCTTCTATATCCAAACTAGTGGTGCTAAAGCAGAAGTACATTCTCGCCGGTATTTCACACAAAATTACGCGAAAAATACTTAAATTTTCGAAAAATGTTTCATGACCTTATTTAAAAATCTATCTTCACGGAACATATTTCAATCAAAAAGATCTCTATCTTCATAATTGTAGTTATGGAAAGATGCCGAACATTTTTGATTTTTGGAATTTTCGAAAAATCAGAACATGAGGCAAGCACCATTCTCTTAAACATCCTTAACACTATCCAATAACAAAATTTAAATAAAAAATCGAGCTATTTTTTTTTTACATTTTGAAAGTGTCTCAGGATCTTCGTGTTAAGCACGCCCCAAAATTAAAATATCGGTTTCAAATTCAAGGGGCCGCGACATCAGACAGATCGATTGGGGAATATCAATTTTTGAGAAAATCCGCTGAACGGTTTAGCCACAAGCGTTGTTCACAGACGGACAGAGACGTTTTGCCGTCATTCGATATTGCGACATCTAGGACCCACAAAATATTGATTCTGGCTACACCACCTGTAAGATAATTTTTTTCTAAATTTTGCAACTGGATTTATCCATTAATTAGATCGCTGGTGAGATACATATCTCATAAGAATTAAATATGGTAAATAAAGGTGTTGCCTGGTATCAAAAATTTATTTTGCTAATGATCGTTTCGGATTTATCCACTTTGTCATTACCGTTTTTTTGCCAATTTGGCTGTTTTTTCGCACAGCATTACATAACTTTCTACTACGTAAGCGGTAGTGAGAAAATAGAATGCTTGAAGTAGTGCAAGCAAGCGCCTTAAGGTAGCTGCACAAGCTTTAAGGTGCTGCCAACGTTATTCGTTTTGCGTGGTTTTAACTCGCCACGTGTTATTTTTCAGCTGTTATTAATAACCATTATTACGAGTCGAATGTTATTCCCATAGCAGTTGTTGGAGAAAAGCTGTTAAGCACAGCTCTACAATAAACCGCAGATTTCATTTTGCTAAAAAAAAAGGTATCCCAGCTCCTGAATCTCCTCCTACCTAAACGTGCGCATAGTGAAGCCTACCCATTAATGTCCAGAAGCAAACCGGTGTAAGTGACTCAGGGTATCAATTGATGTCATTTGTGTTCCTCTGACCGGGAATTCCCATGGGTCGAATTCAGCAGCTGTTTGGAGGATAATTCTTGCGGCCGGCTGCTCTTATCGGTAGTTTTCCGTGTTTTATCCGGACAAATTAATGCCAGAGCAGTACCCTAACAATTGGGCCACGTAAACGAACTTTCCTTCCTCTCCCGTGTTTTACCCTCACTCCTTACTTACTGACACACGTATTGGTGGGAGGTAGTACATGGTTGGAGAAAGCTCCGTAACCCGACGTAGGTTGGAGCCGAATCTCACCATCCCACCGGTCACCACCACCTCTTCCGCCCACCTCCTGCTCACATCCCGAGATGGAAATATGCACTACACTTACGGCATTCATGTCCTTAGCAGTTGATGCGCCCGAAATCATTGATAAATCAATCAGAGTTATTGATAAATAGATTTTGATAAATCAATCAGATCAAGCCTAAATGCCATAATTCTTGCCATTGTTGGAAATAATTGCAGTCCGATTTTTTCTTGATTTCTTGTGCAACGCAATTTTCAAATGTATGTTACCCACGTAGACAGATATTTAGATAGAGCGGACATCTCTGTGCCTCCAGAATTGCACTAGTTTTTATATCAAGGAATTTCCTCTAGGCAAGTTGCCAGCCTCTCTGACCTTAGCAATTAAAGAAAATAAGTGAAAATGGTACGATAACTAAAATATCTTAGGGAATACAATGTAGCAACCCCGTGGCTGACCCGACTCACCTGATTACCTGTTACCGGCTGCTCAGTCTGTAGATTCTGATAGGATGCAGGCATGATAGGGCTTCTTCTCATGCTCAAATGCACTGAAACACATGACTGCCTCTTTCGTGGATTTAATATCCATTCTATGACCGAAGTGAGACCTCTCGTTACAAACAGGTCTTTCTCTTAAAACTAAGTTAACCTAACTTATCTTACGTACGGCCCATTCAGGCCAATGTTCGCCCCTTTCAGGCAGGACGGCGCCCTCCCTGGCGTCCATGTCCTCGGTTACGAAGCGGTCCTTTCCCCTGGCCTTCTGGTGCACTGCCGTCAGGCGACAGCATTTATTTTAAATTTCTTACATGAAAGCACATTGCTCTAAATAAATTTGCATTGACTTAATATGAATATGAAAATAATAGTTAAAATAATAGTGTACGTTCACACTGTGGACGTTTTGTAGAGTCATTGAACAAATAATGAAAATTCTCCCAAAATCGGCCTGAAACTAAAACCCCCTTTTCTCTAGGGTTCACAAACGCTTCCGCGATGTAAGTCCAGATTTGGTGCCCAAATGTATGACTGGGAACGAACCAGTGACTGTTCGAGTGCCTAGGGAGAAGGTGGAGAAACTTCCTGAATTAAGGGTGAGATACATTTTCGCATTTTTCTTAATGTTCACTTAATCGATTCTCATCTTGTTTCAGATATTTAGGAATATTGGATGCACCTTCTAAATGGGCAATTAAAAGATAATATATTGCTTTTTTACCTTCACTAATATGCTCTACTTCACTTTATTTCTTGAGATTTTGAGAAAATCGCACGCTTTTATTGCCTTGATGATTCTATTCTTCAAAACATGACTAGAGGAATAAAGATCACATGTTTTGTTTGCCTTTTTTCATTTTTGTATTTGGCTTGTATTTGGTTGTTTCACACAGAATGTTTATTGTGCAATTTTGCTTGTTTTTATATATTGTGGTTTGCTTTATATTTTCAATGTTTTGCTGTCGTTCCCCTGCAAATTAACTTTTGCGCTGTTGCGCTGTTATGTGTTCCATAACGTGACACATGCCCTACACGTCTCTTTCCGAAAAGGAAAATATAACGATGAACATTTCTGGTGAACTCATACACGCGTACTCTTGAGTACTGCACTTTCAGATCACGTGGGCTTTGTGGGAGGCAGGTCAGTATACCGCCCTGGTATGAGAATAGGAAGATAAAATGAATAATTAGCCAACATTAACATTTTAATTTGTGCTTAAAAAGGCCCCGTAGGGTTGACCTAGGACTACACGACACCGAAGTTTTAGCGCAGCTAATCTCTGGGGAGTCTTTCATCGCGTTATGTATCAATGAAAAAAATTCGTCTCTACCGAAATTCGAGCTCTAGGAATACATCATCTACAGAACTTCACTTGCGTACACGTCACTTCATACACTGCCATAGAAAAACGTTAGGCATGGTTCCTGTCTCAAAGATACCTGATGAGTGATTCACGGTCAATGTTTTCAAATTACATATCCCATAGGGAATTGTGGAAATTTGAGAAACGGAAATATTGGATGATAGTTTGACGTGCGCGACCATAGAAAGGACTCAAGATGTGTATTTTCTTGCTGCAATGAGTCAGAAATAAGTTTCTCCGAAAAGTAATGACCGTTGCTAATAGTCCAATACCTGTAGCCTAAACATAGAAAACTAATACCAGTGTGAGACAATTTGAAGAAGTTTCCATTGTTCAGTTATTCGTCGCATTATCAGGAAATCCAGGTAATCGGAGACTACGCCATTTTCGATAACATTATTTATTCTAGACAACACAGTGTTATTTCTTTCCCATATTTTTGGTGAATAATTTATAGTTGCAAATTATTAAGCGTTGGTAATACTAACATTTTAAGGGGCCGCTATCCTGCTGTCAATCACTTCCCTGTACATCCACCTCCTGAAGACGATACGCAATTCACGAAATGGATTTAAAAAATATATGTTTTGTATTTTATTAACATTTTTGTGCAGTAGCTTCATAAGATCTCTATTACGAGTAGCTACTGTGTTTCAAGACAACCACAATTTAAACAAGGTAGTAATTAAAAAATATGTTGAGATAGTATTTAACGACTGTCTCAGCCCTAAAATTCATTTACAGTTGTACATTAAATCTACATTGATTTTAATATAAGCATTAACTCCAATGTACAAATACATTAATATCCCTTTAATGTGCAAAGTACATTAATCCACATTAAATTTAATTTAATTTCTGATAGTGTAGATACTCTTCGCTGCTCGCACTTCGCCGGGATAACTAGAACTGCCTCTCTGCCCGGGGGGAGCCGTTTTATGACATCATCCGGGCCGAAGGCTCGCCGACTGGCCCGTCCGTAAAGGCGGGTCCACATATTCGGCATCCGCCTTACAGCTCGTCCAATCCCGAACAGCTGATGTGTTCGGCGAATGTTCGCTCCCTTTGATGTGTCCTAAAGGCCGCCACGCGATGGGTAGGGTGAATACCGAATGTTCGGTGTTCGGCGAGTCGCAAGCAACCCGTCCACACTACTCGGGATTCGGCGAGCGGTTGCTCGGGATTGTCGGAATGCCGCATGTGTGGCGCCGCCTTAAGGGCGATGGCGCGTCTTCAGTTGCCCCGACTTCGACATCGGCGACCTCTCGTGAGCGGTGCCCGCATTTTCCGGGGGCACCGCCGTCTCGCTGGTGCGGGTCTTTTGACCCGTGGCGGGTCTTATGACGGGACGAGCTGTGATGGGCCTGTGAAATTCCTCAAATAGTCAGATCTGGGCATAGTTGACGTCACTCATTCCAGCATTGATGTAAGGGCTGCTTCAGACTTTCGATATTCGCCGAGCCGCAGCGAGGTTCTGCTCGCCCAATCACGAGCTGTTGGTGTGCTCGTCTAACGTTCGCTTCCTTTGATATATCCAAAAGACAGAAACGTGGTGGGTAGGGGAGCACTGAATATTGGTCGCTAGACAAATAGCTGGCATCCCATCCACACTACTCGCCGAATACAGAATATTCGCTACTCGCCGAATACAGAATGTATGGAGTCGCCTTGAAAGGTGTTTCTGACACCCACGGAGATGAAACGTGCTGAAGGTTGCAGAGTCCTTTCAACCGACAGTGTTCTGTCAGGAGTTATAGTACGCATAGAATAAGAAATTATCTCTTCCAAAATTTTGAAACCTGCTTGGCTATTGCCCACTCCCACGCGTTTGATACTTAAAATTCAAAAATGGTGTGAAGGGAGAGCATTTTTGCCGCTGAACAGAGAAATGTCAATACTCGCCTACTTCTCTTGACACAAAACTTCTATCAATTCGGTCAATAGATGATGGCTTCTTAAAAATGTAATACAAATTTTACAACACAAATACTGCTTACGTCTTTACGATGTACCTTACGTTGGTATAGCAGAGAAAGGAAGCCATTACTCGATCAAAGATGCGTCGGCATGAAGAGTTGGCACCGTTGTAGTGCCATGCGTATGCAAACACAGCAATCTGTTACATTTGGGTTACCTGTACACTTCTCTGATGTGAAATTGGACCACGTTAAGTCAGATATGAAATGATATCACACATTATACGGTGTTTAGACTACTCAGGCATTTTTGGTCGTTATACGAAGCATGAAGCGAATGACTCGCAGGAGCAGGAAGCTCTGCCTGACAGAGACAATTCAAAAGGAACGGAAACAGGGTTGAGAAAACTGCATGAGAATGCCACGAATTGGGCGCAGCAAATGTGTTGATATTTCATAGTCATTTAGTACATGTTTCACATTTATAAATGTTGATTTGTAAAAAGGACATCTTTATTCTTATATTGTCTAAGTTTGATCTGCATCAATTTTATTATTGTATTATTCTACAAAAAATCTCGTACTCCGTACCAAATTATGTGAATAACCTTTTCACAAATCGTCGTGTAACTCTATCCAACGTTATGTTTCAAATATAAAGTAAAATAATTCCTGTGTAAAGGTAAAATGTTTGTTGCTAATAAAGAAACGTCTTAGTTTTAATACTGACTTTAGACAATTTTTATTGCGGTTATTTTTACGAACATTTTTTGAAGAACATAGAATATTGTATTAGTTACTCTAGCATTGCACATTTTACAAAAACAAAAAATAGGAAAATCTAAGGTACATCTCTATTTAAAGATTAGTTAACTTATATTTAACTGCAATTGAGTGGCAGTGGAAGAATGAGCGAAATATTAACTAATTATAATTTATTCAACTGAATATTTTTTCAAATTATCAATTCTTTATAGGTTTCAAAAGTGCAGAAACCTTTGATGAAAATTAAAAAAAAAAATTAACAATACAACGTAAAAATCATGCAAATGAAAACACAAGACAAACTTTGAAATTGTAACTGAGAAGAAAGAACCATTTTCAGATTTATCCCCTGTGAAAAGGATAATACAAGAGCGACTATTTTCTTACATGTTCAATAAGTTCCTCTTCTATCTTTGTAAAAGTCTACAAGGTCACCGAGAAATCAAAAAATGAACCAAAAGCGAGAAGTCTTTACGTGTCCGACGAAAGTCAAGAAGGTTTGATTTGATCCTAATTCGTCAAATGGCGTATTATCAGACACATTGTCACGTCAGCACAATGCAAATAGATCTATAGATGACTCGTAGGCATAATGTGATATTATATACATTAACACGGGGTTCCACGTCACGTCAAGTATGTGTGCGTAAACTTTGGTCTCTCGTGCGGTGTAACCGTTGTAACCACAGTAATTACAACGAGTTTGCGAATCAAACGAACCAACTACAAATAGCGAACGAGGAGGATTGCACTATCGCAACGTAAAACCTCCAAGTTGTAATAAAGTTGAACAGTTAAGGTTTGTATTGCGTGAATAATTTGTGATTTTCGTAACTTCATCTTTATGCTCTAGTGCAGCAGCTTGCACAAGAGTTCGTGTCAATATTTACCTATACTTTAGGTATCAGATTCTTCGGCGCAGCTTCTATTCTCACTGAGAATAACGCCCCACTTCACAGAAAAAATGTGCAGACACCGATTCGGGCATTTTATATTCTAATCGTACATTAAGTGGTAATTAACAGCAGATTTTTTGTTGCGATTATTGCGTGTAGCATTTCCATGAGTGTGGTCATTTGCGTAGGAGAATCCTTTCCGGCAGCGCATCTGCGAGGTGTTCTCGCGCGACGGGAAGGGAAACCTGACGTTCGAGGACTTCCTGGATATGCTGTCGGTGTTCAGCGAGCAGGCGTCGCGGGACATCAAAGTATTTTACGCTTTCAAAATATATGGTGAGTAGCTATTGGCGGGTAATTTGAGTTTCATTGCATGCCTTTATTGATTCACTGACTCATTGATTGATAATTCCGGTAAACTCTGCTGATATGGGGGTTAAACCGGTGCGCTTGATATCCCGGTGGCAACGTTTCTCCCTCGCTGGATCGGGAAATTTGGAGCCGGCTTGCGGAGTTTCTCTTCAAGGGGACACCGCCCCAGCCGGGGAAAGCTCGATGTTCCTAACTGGCCTTCCGACATGTCTGGTAGTATAGTGAATGAAAGGATAAGACAATGAACAGGAGGAAAGTGGCGCGTTTGTTAGGGTACCGCTCCGACATTCGCCTGGTATTGATTAGAGATACCGCGGGAAAATATTGATCAGAGCAATCGGCCGATTGACTTCTCTAGACAATGGTCGAATTCGACCAAGCTATTTAGCCCGTCTCGAAAATCCGCTACCGTTGAAACTCAAACCCTAGGACTTCTCAGTCAGAGACGGCAGAGACAACGGTAATATTCCGGCTGCCGTTTCAACCGGTGAACTTTTATTGTAGAAATTCTTTCTTCTGCTTTTTTGGTTTAAAAACGTCCCGTTTACGATATAAAACTAGGGATGTTTAAAAGCACATACTTTCTGACATTATTTGTAATGACTAAAAAGTAATATAAAGCTACGTAAACCTGCAAAAATGTAACCAGCCAGCAAAATTTTCTTTTTCAAGCTGGAACTCGAACTCTAGGTTGTTAGAGTAAGCACGCCAGCCATGTTGTTCCTACACCACCAACCATACACGTAAACATACCCTTCCCGACACTTTAAAAATAAATTGAACATTTGCATGCACAATTCTCAAAAATTCAGAATTTTCCGTCTTATTATTGCGAAGTCTAGTTTTAATGAATAGATTTAATTTTAAAAAATTTCGATCATCATCATTTTCTAATGTTCTTCAATGTTAATTATTTGCAATTTTCGAAAATAATCACCGAAATTGAGCCCTGTGCCATTTTATCAACGTACGTTACTCTATTTGGAAAACAATTAAGGAAGCAATTACGAGCAGTTTTTGAAAAAAGAATTGTTTTATAAATTTCCTTTATCGAAAAATTTCGAGAAAACCTCGTATTTAAAAAAAATTGATCATGGCCTTGTTTAAAGAAGTTTTTAGAACAGACGGGCAGACTGAGTTTTTGTCGGGGAACAATTTTTCGGAATTAAGGAACAATAAAACATGAATTCTGACTACACAAGGTCTTAGAGGAAGTAATTTACTGGGAACAAAGTTTATCCACTTTTTCGTTTTCCACAATTATCCACAGTTTCGGTGAACTATCTCTTTATTTTCGAAAATTGAAAAAAAATAAGAGTGCAAAACTACAATTTTAATGATAGATATTTTTATTTTAAATAAAATCTATTCTAAAAAGTGTCATGTACAATCTTTTAAAAAAACAACAACAAAGAATAGTACATTTCACGTGATTTCCACTTGTAGTTAACGCAATTTATTTTAAAATTCGTTTCAATTTTTTTCTTCTGGGGTTAATGGTATGGGAGTAATGTGAATGACTAGCTAACTCTTAACCTAAGTGGGTTTTTCAGCGCAAACGTTTTTGCTGGTTGGAAACGCAAGTTTTGTGTAGTTTTTTAATGTTGCGTAACTGTTAAAATAATGCGAGAAAGTATATGTTGTTGTAGCACCAGTAATTAAATTGATACCTTGATGAGTTGAAAATAATCAAAAACACGTTTCAGTTGTATCCATGCCTATGAAATCAAAAGCGTTTAGGATTTTATGAATGATAATACCAAAAGTAATTTGTACAGATACCTCGATCTATTGATTTTCACGTCTTAAATGTACGACATTTTAAATCACAATTTCCACACGTACATTTGTATATTTGATAAAATAAACAGTATGTTATGTATGCGATTGCATTATGGCCAAATATGAAATTAGTGGTTTAATTACTTTTAATGTAATATGTCTTGATATTAGTAAAAAAATAAATATCCCCAAATGCTAATTTTGTGTGTATTTCTCGACCCCAGCACTGCAATCTGTCGAGTCCATTTATGTGTTCTACGCAAACGTCAAGAGGAAGGGGATTTCCGGAACGGCTCGCATTTGCCCGCTCTCCCACTCAAGCCCATGCCCAGTCCCAGGCGAAGCGGAAACCC